ACTTAAATTATGCTTACATTATATGAATGTTACTAATTGGGTTGGAATTTAAAACAAAAATTGGCACCAGACTCTGACCACTAACGTCTTATTGTATTTCATTTGGCTTTAAAGTGTTTTTGTCAGCAAGATGAAGTCAAAGTTTCCATATGCTCGCAGTGAATCATGAAATTATTTGCATGATTCACGTTTTCGTGATACGATTGTTAATAACATTTCACGAGTCAGCAAAAACAATACTAATTTTGTGGTTATATCATTCATGCAATTATTGGATATAATGTTTATTTTATATTAATTGCTGGTACGTGGTCTGTAATTTGGCTATCACAAATTTATCTACATGTTTAATGAAATATTTACTGTTTAGTATATATTTCTAATCTTCTTTCTAATTTGCGCAGATTTATTAACGAATAAAAAGAAAATCTTACCTAACTATCGATCAGCTGGTGTAATTTCTTAAACTGCCGTTAGAATTAACTCTAGCCTAGAGATCTTGATTTATTTGATGCTTGTGAAAATTTGACCTTAATTGATATTAACTTGTATAGAAGTACATATTAGGTGGAATATATGGCCTATATATATCATGGGCGCGGTGTGATATATCTTCTGTCCTTATGGGCGATTTATCATTGATATCATAAATAGATGCATTTGAACGACCTCCTACGCTAAAACAAAATAGGAAAACTGCTGCATAATGGACATAAAAATTATTAATGCATACATATATTAACGTAACGGGGTTTTTATGGTTAATATCTGTATTTTGTAGCTTTGTTAAAAGCAGAGTCCATGGCACATATTCGATTGCTCTAGAATTCTAGAATAACAATGTTTGTTATCTATTATTTGTAATCCTAGTAAAATTGTCAAATGTCAAAAATATTAGCATCCACATCTAGATTTTTCACTCACTTCCATCTCGTAAGTCATTTCTATTTCGTGGACTTCGAATTTTTTTCGCTGACGTGGATCTCCTGAATGTTGACCCTTGAGTGTTCATGTGGACCACTTTTGGAATCACTGGTCTAAACAGATCCTGTTCGAAATGAAGGGTTTTTGGGTTGAAAAAATAATTTTGTGTTTTGAATTGTGAACGTGTTCGGTTATCATGGTTTTAAGTTGCTTTTTGAATTATTACCGTGTTGATGGAGGCATGCATATATAATATAAAATAATGTAATATAATTTGTGTGTTTGAGCGGTTATCTGTATGTGTCACCCGTATCTTTCAAGACTCATGTATTACATAAATCAATATCTAATCCGGCGTTGACAGAACTATCGTTACAAATCTTTCACCACTAATTAGGCACAAGGAAATGTTTCATCTGAGCGTTTAGACTTCTTCAAATAAACGACAAAAACAAAAGAATCAGTGTTGGTGTCAAGTTTTATGCATGTCCCGTTATAAGCAGACACTTTCTACATATATGTGCACGAATGCCCGTGGCGTTTTTTATCGGCCTTTTTTAATTCATTTCTCTGATCTGTTACAGCTGACGGGCGTTAAATCACTTTCGCTCGATTATATGCGATTAATTCAAAGCATCCTGTGGGAATTTGTAGGTTTCGATTTGGTTTATTACGATTGCAGACTGATTTTCCGTTTTGCACTTTAATTGCAAAATATCACTTTGGGAATACTTGGAAGAACAGGCTGATACGTGATCAGAATGTGGAAACTTAAATTATAAAATAAACTTATAAACAATTCATACGATTTTTATGGATGTAACGCCCGGCCTATAATAGGTACACAAATATATATATTTTCAAAAATTTATTTGAAAATAAGTCAAATTATTTTACACTTGCTACCCACAGAACTACATTTAAAAAAGTATCAATTGATAAATCATTTTTTTCGTCTAGTAGTTTTCTCTTTCACATTTCGATAGTTCATCGTACACAGAATGATCAGTTATTTAAAACAATGGTTCACTTTTACTATTTTTTATCGAATGGTTATTATGTTACAATAATTTCGTTTTCGCGTGTAGTTCAATCGCAAAAAATCTTAACAATGAAGAAACTACTTTCGTAATACCTCATAGGCCAGGAGATACATTTTTGTTGATTTTTTATCATTGCCTACGCTTGAGGATAATTTAATGCCAGTTTGTTATGCAATTTCTAGTTTTTTTTTTAATATTTGATTAATGTATTTATATGAAGTGATCATTAGATCGAAAGCGGAAGGTGTGCACTTGAACAAAATAAAGCTCTTAAATATTAACTTGTGTAGGAAGGAATATAGACAAGATACATTTTGTAATAACAAGTATTCTCGTTTACATATATATTTGAAATCAAGTAATAAGTAGAAATGAAATTATGAGAAAATGGTTATAAAAGTACTATGGTTTTCATGTTATAATCCGTGCAACTTATACTGTAAATTTGAAAAATTTATTTGGAAGCTACAGAACCACACTTCTACATTATTACTAAAAGATTTAACAAATAAAAATATCAATATATATCGATCATTAAAAAAATGAAAATATGAAAATATATTGAAACTCAACAGTCCTTCATTCTGAAAAAATTTATTTAAGCAAAACAGATACGTTTTGCTGAAGGTTGTTTCACTCAACTACACATGGTATTCAAAATAATACAAACTTGTAATTTGTTGCTTTATGTGCATTCTAAATTTCAAAAAGTATTTATTACTTCGATTTATATTTTTTCCTTCATTTCTCAATTTTACACGAATAAATTAATTCTTCTTACATAAATATCTTTAAGCATTTAAGGTATAAGCTTTCTCTGACTTATATTTTATCAGATTTCGCAATTATAATGAGTTGTAAATAAGTGATATATTATATCATCTAAATTCATTATAATTAAATCTTCTAATTATGTACCTTTTGATGTTTTTTATTACTTTATCGCATTAGTTATGCAAAATTGACAATGAATTTACATAAGTTTTTATAGTTCAAGCAATAAAAAGCATACAAGTAGCAAATTGTTATTCTGTTTTAGTAATTATTTAATTTAGAACACTTTCATTTGTTACGCTACACCGCCGGGGACATAATTTAAAGTAGTTTTTATAAATAGATTTTTTATAAAACTATTCATAATTAACTATGCTTAATTATATAATCGTATTGTAAAGGCAATGGAATAATACATGGAGTGAAAAGCATTTTTGCTGAATAATTTGAATATTAATATTTTCATATTCATTGCGAGTGCAGAGTTCCATATGGTTAACATATAACAAACCTATACAAATGTTTTTAGAAGTCTGGTAGACCAGCGCAAATGATAGTAATATTTTATAATATTACACTATTTTGAGTTACAATTAATATTTCGAAATACAATTATGAATATAATATTTTGCTGGAGTTTCCAAATTTTCTCTCAAATCCAAAACCTTTTTATTCGATATTTACCATGATTATTGTACCATGATGCATTTCATTTGTACCATATTAGTCCTAGTTCTGTATTAATACACCAAAATGGGTCGTTATTGTTTAATTTGGTATATTTTTGTTAGTAATCTCTTTTAATTATATTCACCGCTCAATAATAATATAAGACAATATATCAAATAGTTGTAGTAAACAAATCAATCACAAAATGTGACAAGCCAAGATAAGGAGCACTGTCAAAATAATAACATTCTAAAACAAAGAACATGATAAATGGATGAAGTAAATCTAAAAATTAAATACCTAAATATAAACAAATTATATTTTAAATTAAAACGTAATTTGATACTAAAAATCTAATAAATTACTAATTCTAAAAACTAGTTAATAATTTAGTAATAGTTATTACCTTCTTTTATTATAGTCCAATAATAAAATTTACGTCGTACATAAAATTAAAGGCTCTGGGTGCATATAAATTGTTTTTTGAACCGCTCTGAATATTAATTGTAATTTTAAATACCAACATATTACTGTTATAAATAATATATTCAATCGTTAATGTTAATTACAATTACATCCTGCCAATACGATTGGAGGTTTTGGTGATGGGAATAGAATACTATTGCTTGAAATGCTTAAAAATTTGACTTGCTTATTTTATGTGTTTTTGGGATTTCAAGTCATTTGGGATCGTTCAAGTATTTCTTCTGTAATTCCAAAAATATGAATTTATTTCTGAAATTTTAGAGTTATATTCTTGGCTAGTTTTGGAAGACATTTTTGCAATGAAATCGCCTTTTTAAGGGGCACAACTAGTGTGAAATTTTCAAAAAATCAAATTTCAAATTGATATCTTAAATAGTTTTTGAGTCGCAGCCATTTAAAGAGTATTTATATAGTATATAGTTATAGTAGAGTATTTATATAGTATAAACGCGTTTTTCTCGAAACAGCATTTTTCGAATTTGCTGCAGCGATTACTCAAAAACAAATGATCCGATCACTATCAATTTTTTTTTACATGTTCTATATATAGTTCTCCGTAAAATGAACTATCGATTTTTTGATCGGATCAAAAATCGAATTTTGGCAGTCCAAAAACGACCAAAATTTTGGGTAAAATTCGACTTTTTTTTAAAAAAAACGCCGTCATTTTGTCAATTTTTGATTTTTTTTCTTTATCGTAGTTCATTTTACAGACAATATTATCTAGTTTAACGAGATTTTTTTTTTAATTTCATCCACGTAGAAGGACGGAATCACTGCAGCAGTGAAGGGCCTTTTTTTGTCGCACCGTTGGAGATCGACGATAACTTAAAAAATATTTAATTTTTTTTTTCAAAAATTTTACTATGTATTCTTAAAACATGTATAAATATATTCCTAAAATTTTGAAATGATTGGTTAAGTAGTTTTTTTAATATAAATTCCCAAAAATCACCTTTTTTTAGGCGGTTACACTAGTTGTGCCCCTTAAACCCTTTGAAAAATGCCAATTACATCTGATTTCATTATCCTAAATGTCGAATCAAATATTTTTTTACGTGTTGGCCTCTATTTATCAATTTACTAACTTTACTAAATTTTTAGTTAAAATGGCAACTACGGCGTCCGGTGATCTTTGGCTGCAATGGTTCACTTGCTGCGTAAATCCGGCGGCTTCGAGTTCTCCACCGGCGGTCGCTCGTCACAAGGCGGCCCAGCACCGGCGGCGCATCGACCGCGCTGCTATCGGGCCACCGACGAATTTCCAGCACACGGGGCACATTGGTTCCGGCTCTGAATTACTCAACGGAGCCCATTTGACGGCTGTGCAGAATCAAATGCAAGGAAAGGGGGGATATGGGGCGGCTTCCTTCGGACTCAAGGTGAGGAAGAGGATATTGATTGATTGTACAAATCATTAATATATATTTATATTTATACTACAGTAGAGCCTTGATTAACCGGACTAATTGTTGTCGATAGGCATTCGAATAATCGAAAATCCGGATAATCGAATGTGTAAAGAATAATGTTGTGTATTTATTAAGAATAACAAATACATACGTAGTAGGGATGGGTAACTCACTTCGGAGTTATCACTCCGATACAACTCCTCCCTCGGAGTAAATCCGAGTGGAGTTGTCTTACAGGATTCGTCATATCCGACTTCCCTAAACTGGTACTAAATCTGTTAACATGTACAGATATTTGCTTGAGATTTTTTACTAATACAAAAATTTGAGTTGAAAGAAGTGGTCTTTTTCTATATATATATATATATATATATATATATATATATATATATATATATATATATATATTTGAGATGGGCTTATCATATCCGGATCCGAACCTTTGCTTCAGGGAGGAGTTATATCCGCTTAACAACTCCACAACTCCGACAACTTTGAAGCATAATACTTGGCACAAATGTGTTCTCTAGTGTGCTGTTAACATACCTAAGGATTTATTAAGACTTTGGAAATAGTTTACAAATAGTTCAAACATTTTTGTTCATTTTATTATAATAATTACTATTTTATGCGTTTCGTTTCATACAAATCTCAAATTGACAAAAAACTTAGGAATCAAAATGAATTTTGTAATTATTTTTGAAGAGAAAATATAGAATTCTTTGAATACGTTTACTTTTATATGAAAATAATGCAGTGAACCTTATATATGAAATAAGAACAAATCTTTGTGTATAATATTTTTCACAAAATAATAATACCTCACATTCTTTTATTATTTCATTTTCGAGAATTAATTATACATCGGGTATTTTGATTAGCATACTATTACTTTTACACAATTATAAAATCATAATTGTGTAAAAGTTATAAAATAATACTAAATATTTTTTACCTGGTTTGTATACCATTGAAAAAGCTCATTTACGGACAAACATTATCGTATACAGAATATAGAATACAAATAGCATTATTTTGAAATATTATATACCTGGAAAGTTCTAAAACTAGCTGTGAGACGAGAAAAAGACCACTTTTTCGACCCAAATCTTTGTATTAGTAAAAAATCTCAAGCAAATATCTGCACATGTTAACAGATTTAGTATCAGTTTAGGGATGTCGAATATGACAAACCCTTTGAGACAACTCTACTCGGATTCACTCCGAGGGAGGAGTTGTATCGGAGTGATAACTCCGGAGTGAGTTACCCATCTCTAATATATATATATATATATATATATATATATATATATATATATATATATATATATATATATACATAAATCTATACACCTACATTTGCAAATTTACATCTTCACAAACACATTTTTATTTTTTAGCTTTTCATTTACATTTTACCTACTATGCCTACATTTACATTTTTACATATTAATCTGCTTTTACATTTTTTTGTTATTTTAAAATTTGCTTTGTTTGACTTAAATACATACATTGATTTTTACATAAAGATACAAATTGTATACACCTATTCTGGGAATATCATTAAACTATTATAATATAATATTGTTTGCATATACATATATATATATATATATATATATATATATATATATGCAAACAATATTATATATATATGCATTATATAACATTTATAATTTTACATCTACAACTATATTTGCATCTACATTTACATTTACTACATCCTACAAATGCAGTTATATTTAAATATAAATCAAAGAAAAATGTCTTTATTGTACTAACATTGAATCTAACTCCGGGGACAGTCCCGGATTTTCACTTTTTGTCCCGGATTATTCTGAAAACAATATTTGTTCCGGATTTAGATGTTATGTCCCGGATTGTCTCGGGTTTCCAAAAAGTAGAGGCATAAATTGAATATTTATAATAATTGAATTTTACAATTCGTTATGAATGAGAAAATGCAAATTTTCAAAAGCCGATTAAAATAGCCCTTCACATTAATTTCATTCTCAATTTTACAAAAATTACCAAAAATTATGAAAACGAACTCTTTGAACAAGTGCTAATTTTTACTTAAGTTAATTATGAAAAAAAATATATGATGTAATATAGCTAATAACAGAATAATGAAGTCCTACTAAAAGTCAGTTTTTCTGATTAAAAATATATTATATTTAATGAAAATAAACTGATTTTCAATCATATTTTAGATATTGAGGACAATGCGCCTACCCGTTCCGGGCTTTGACTTTGAAAAGTATGGTCACCTTACTTTAAAAATCATTTCATTTATTATATTTACTTTATTTTAATTTAAATTTAAACAAAATTTATATATAATATTGGTATATAATCATGTGTTCTGTTAATTAGTGCTCTCATTTCTGTGTTATTTGTTTTGATTATTTGTATGAAGATGAGTTGAATCAAGACTGGAAACGTATGCTACTACAATAGACATTTTTTTTATTAATTTTGATCAATCATTTTTGATCAAATCAATCATTTAGATTTTTTATGGTCTGTTGCAATTTTAATATCATGTCTTCAAATATTTATTATCATAATTAATAATTTTTTTTTTGTTCAGGCCTGTTAGCCGCCGTTTGCGTGAATCCTTCTGGGCAGCATTTGTTATATTTAATTTGTTGAATGATAGAAAAGCGACGTCAATTTGTAAAAAAGATGAATACTATTTATTTGTGTTGTGAATAGTGTCTTAAGAACAGTATTACAAGGAAGAGGAGTATGTTATTGTCATATTGTTGATTTTATCAATCCTAACGTATTGTTTAATATTATTATTATTAAGAGTTTAGTTAAGGAGGATTAATAAGTGTAATAGTTTTATGCAGAATTTGGTTAGCATATTTAAAACTAAGTGTATATATTGATGTTACATTTAATTGTGTGATTGAGTGAATGAGAATTTTGTAAGGTATATTTGAGTTCTATATCTGCAAATACATCACATGAATAAATATTGCAATGCGAAAAAAATATTTTTTTTAGAATATTTGTAATTGTAATTAACAATATTATGTTTAGAAACTCCTGTGCCTCAAATATATGCCCGAGATGGATGAACGTTACTTTGTGAGATTAATAATAGTTTAAGCTAAATTTTGCAATATATTCAAGAACATTATTTATTATTCAGTAATATTCTTAGCATTTTTTCTACTCAAAATGACTGCAAAGATGTGTCTTAGCTTTCTTTATTTATCCTTTAAAATATTTTCTTTATAGTGTGGTCGTTATTTTTTATCCACATGCTATACTATTTTTAATTTATTTTAATGTTATTTATTTTTTACTTTTTGTTATTTTAATAGAAATATTTTCTGGCTGTGTTCTGATATGCATGTTTTATTTTGAATTTATTTGTGTTAGAAATAAGCAAATAAATAAAATCAACTAATTCAATGTAAGCATTTCAGTCATATAATGGGCAACATACAAGCAAAATGTAAATAAATTTAGTAATCTGTATGCCTTACATGGGACTTAATATTCAATGAATTTTCAGTAATTAATGTTATAATATTAATCATAATTTTATTTTTTCCTCATCTGAAACGATAGATTGAACATTAGTTTGATTAAAAATATTTGTCATAATATAAAGTCTCATACATTTTGTATTTCTAAAATAAAGCTTATCTTGTAATATATATTTTTATAAATATAATAAAAATAATTAATTAATATATATAAACTATCTATAACAAATAGTTTTGTTTTGCTAATTTTAAGTTCTTCACTTTTTTAAATGTTGATTTTGAATGTACAAATACCTTTTCTAGTCAGTTATTATTCAGCAAATAACAACTGCAAACTTCGACAAAAAGCGAAAGCATTTTTTATAATTCATTCTATATCCCGTTATTAACTAGTAAATAATTAAGAGTTGTCATGATTTTAGAGAAATATCTGTATATATATATATATAAATATATATATATATATAGGTATATATATATATATATATACACCTTTAGATAAAATACAATTTTAATAACTTATAATATACTTTCTATATATTTTTTTAATTTAGCTAATTATTTTGCTAATGATTTAATTTTTTTTGCCTCTAATTATTAGCAAATATCAAATTATTAATCAAGAGAACAATGGTTCTTGTCTAAATTTATACATCCCCTAGCACAAGGCTCCAATTTTAATTTTATTCAAAAATTGTTTTTATGTATTTGAGAGAAAACTGAATTTTTTTTTCAGAGTTATTGAAAATTTCTCTCAATTCGCTAAACATAGCATAACATAATAAAAATTACTTACCCTACGGGAAGTTAATAAAGAATGTTAGTATTTTACCCGTTGCAGTGTGTAAATTATAAATGTAATTTGTGTGTAACTGCCTCTTTTATTTATATACCACCATTCAGAATTAGTTATTAATTTTTAATACTGGGTTAAAAAGGTTGCTTTTCCTTGTTCTAGACTCTATAAATTTTTATATAAAATTGTACATTTGAGTTCAAGAGTAATAAGAAATTTATATAGTTTATTTAAACAAAGACCAGTTTGTACAAAAGTACATTTTGCGCACGTTAATCCAAGAAAATATCAAGCATACATATTGGTGAATCAATTGAATTGCTCACTATAACTATAGTTTTAAATGAATTCTTTATCGAATCAGGTTTATACTTACAATCTTTTTCAAATGAAAAATTAATTCCCTGTACCATCAAATACTTTTAAGCAAAATTGTTATGAGTTGTAATTTATTGACTATTCATTGAAAATTATATATTGATCTGAACTAATGTAACTTTTATAAATATATTGTAATTTATAGGAATGTCTCGGAACTCATAATGTTTATTAATACCACTTTAATGCCAAAGAACAAGAAGGTGTCAATTGAAATATGTTACAAATAAATATTTTAAGTAAATGAAGGCAAATTAATGAATAAATATGAAATGATATAATGAATGCACATTAATGAATATATGCTCAAAATAGAACTCAGATATGATGAATGTTATGGCAATAAATTACTCAATGTTGAACTTACATAGATGTGATCTCATCTCATTTTGTCAGGTAAATTTCAAATATTTTATTTTATATATTTGAATAATAGCCATCAATATTGTATATGTTTCATTTAATGATATAGTTCATTATTGAAATAATGTTGGTAATGATACTCCATTTTATTGTTTATTACTAAAGCTAAATTTGTTCCATTACAGGTGATTCTGAGACTGTAGAGCGGTGTATCTATCTGGATTTTCTGCGAACACTAGACAATCCTGATTCCTGAGTTCTGAATCTTACAATAGACAGCCTCCGACACACAATTTGGAATACTACTTACTGTATATATTGCAGTTTCTCACAGACCCCTGCACACTATGTTTGTTTATACAAACACCTTTAATAAAATCAATTTAAAACAATTTGGTGACATCTATCAGATGCTACGAAGGACGAATAAGGAAGATAAAATATCTGAGCATGAATATTATAATAATGTGAAAAGCGAGTTGTTCTTGTACCTTTGGAAGCAGTGATATGACATTGTTAGGACTGCTTTTAGTTATATATGATGTTCTTTATATTAACTTTATCAATTGAAGTCCAGTATTTCTTGTAAAAAAATTTATAGAGTTTTTAATGAACTGTTTGGAAACAGATTATATAGATAGTTCAAGGTTTATATATATATATATATATATATATATATATATATATATATATACATATATACTACTATCCCCGGATTTATATATTGTTTTTCCATGGCAATAGTTTGTATGGAAATTGGATATATAAATGTATATAATTATTATGTATTTTATATATGGATTATTATTATATATACCTTTATTATCATTAAATAATATATATTTAAAACATTGTGATTTTGCTAATTACATATGAGTATATTTGTAATATTTTGTAATTATATAAATAAATATTTAGGTAATTTAATTTGATTTTTGTTAAACATGGATGTGTATTTATAGAATTTTTCAGGTTGGTTTTGGCAAATAATAATTAATAGCTCTATAATTAATTTTATTTACTTAATCATACATAAGATCCATTTACATAAAGATATATCCATTTTATTTTATATGATACTCATTAATTTATTCAAAAATCGTTTATTAATAATTCTTAAATTAATTTAAGTTTTTAAATTAATCTATTCAAAAATCCTATCCTTTTGCAATATTAGGGTAGCTGTCAAAATTTGAAATTACCGCTTCCTAATTTAAAAATATTAAATGCATGATTCAATATTTATATATTAATAATGGACACTAATTTTAATATGTTTATCCGTTAAAAAATCCGTT